TAAAGACCTTCGCCGGGCCTCGCGGCCGTCGAAAAACGACTCAGGATGAAAAACCGGTCCTGGGGAATGGGTCGAGACTTCCAGGGACCCCGTATGGAAAAAAACACGACGAAGAGGATCTCGGGGCCCTTGGCGCGCAGAGCGCTCCAGGCGCCGGAGGCGCCGCCGGGGGGGCCCTGCACAATGGTTTTGTGCTTATGCCGCTTGCCCTCGTTCAGGGGGGGGACAGAACTCCCACCCCGACACGTCGATTAGCGAATTGGCCGTTTTCGGTTCGCGAGAGGGCGTCGCGGCCGTCATTTTTGCGGGTCCAGGTCCGTCGGTTTCGGCCCCAGGCCGTCTTCACCAAAGGGAGGTTTACTGAAGCGAGGTTTGCCCACCGCCGATGATTCCGCTTGCCCTTGTTCGACGAGTGCCGAGGGGTGGCCGGCGCGGCGGCGTGGTGCAGAGGCCGTGGGGGAGGTCTCGCCGCCGATGGCCGAGCCCGAGGCTCGCGCCACGAGGGGAGGCGAATAGCAGGAAGCTGCAGGATCGAGGATGGAGGTGTTTGGGCTTTCTCCTCCTCCTCCTCCTCCTCCTCATTTAGGTATATGTGTTGCGTGTTTTTGTTGCTAAGGCCTTACGGCCAGTGCCGCCGACCCTGGATACCTCGGCCCTCGAGGGTGACGGGATGCGTGATAAGACGTCGGAGGTAAATGAAGACGTGGCGGAGGAGGATGCGAAGGAGGAGGAGGAGGAGGAGGAGGAGGAGGAGGAGGAAGGGGAGGAGGAGGAAGGGGAGGAGGAGGAGGAGGAGGAGGAGGAGGAGGAGGAGGAGGAGGAGGAGGAGGAGGAGGAGGGGGAGGGAGACGGGGAGAGGGAGGGAGAGGGTCGCCCCGGGGGGTGCGTATCTGCCCACCCCCCACCCACACCCCCCCCAACCCCGGGTGGAGAGGGTAGGGAGGGGCTTCGCCACGACAACGAATTCCTTCTGTTTCGTGTTCGATTTCCTTTTATTTCGGGCGACGACGATGACGATGACGACGACGACGACGACGGTGATCCACGCAAGACGACGACACTGGGATGCGTCTTCCACATAGGTAGATGTGTTGCGTGCTTGTACTTCTTGGGTCCACAATCCGCCTGTAGAGGGACATGCCCGACCGAATATTAGTTTTGGACGGGCTCGTGGCAGATTCCAGCACGGTTTTGGACGGGCCTGGGAGGCGTCACGAAAGCGCATTCTGAGCGCAATGGTTCCAGAGGATCTCCGCCATTTTCGGCCTCCCAGGCCCCAAGGCCGTTCGAGAGCAACCCAAAATGCGAATCTGGCTTGGAGAAAGCAAAGGTCGACAACCCGTTTGCTCCATGCCAGAATGGGAATCCCCAGGCGGCACACGAGGCAGGCATGTGTGTGTGTGTGTGCGGTATGGGCCGCCGCGGCACGTTGCTGCCTGCGTCCCTCCGCCGCCGTGCGGCATGCAGGTCTCCGCGCTGGAGGGTGTTCTGGCCACCCTTAGTGGGTCCCATACCTCCTCGCGTCGCGAGAAAAAAAAACGACGGCAGGTGTTGGCATTCGTTCGCCCTCTGGGGCTTTTGCCGGACCCCGTGACTGTCCATAACCTCGTGACGTGCCCAACCCATTGCATCAAGTGGCCAGATGAGTTGACCCACGTCGTTCTGGATGGTGACACTGTGAGAACCGTCATTCGCTGCGCGGGCTGCACTGGAGATGCCTGCCCGTTGCACGACCCACGGGACCTGCGCCGGCCGCGCGAGCAGGGGCCGGGGACCGGCGCGGAAGCGGCACGAGGAGTCGAGGTGCCGAGGCTCCGTCAGGCGTCGCTCCGCTGGACCCCAAGTGGCGACAGCTTCGCAGATCGCAGCCACCCCAGGGATGGCGAGGACGAATCTGAGTCTCCCCAGGACGTCGCCCCGCTGGCCCCGCCAACCTGCAGCCTTCCAAAACAGTGGCGACAGCGCCACGCTTCGCAACCTCTCCCCAAGGGATGGCGCGGACTGATCCGAGTCTCCGCTGGACCCCCCCCAGCAGTTTCGTAGATCGCAGCCCCCCGGGGACGGCGAGGTCTTGTAAAGGTCTGCGTGGGACGTCACTCCGCTGGAGCCCCCAGCAGCCCTCGAAAGTGGCGACAGTTTCGCAGTTCGCAGCCCCCTGGGGATGGCGTGGGCAAGCCAAGCAAACGGCAGGAGAGGAGAGGAGGGGAGAGAGGAGGAGAGAAACAGGAGGAGGGAAGAGAGGAGAAGGGAGGCGGGAGAAGGAGATGGAGACCGCCGGCAGGGGCAAGCCAAGTAGACAGCAGGAGAGGGAGAAGAGGACGAGGGAAGAGAGGAAGGAGGCGGGAAGGAGGGAGGAAGGGGACGCGATGGAGGTTGGGAGAGAGCAGGAGCGGAGAGGAGGAGGAGGAGGAGGAGGAGGAGGAGAAGGAGGAGGAGGGAGTCGTGAGAAGGAGCAGGTCGCGACCGCAGTGCTCTATTCCAAACGAGACCCCAACGCAGGAGGGTGGGGAAAAACGACTCGGGACGAAACACCGACTCCCATGGAAAAGCCCAGAGTTCTTGGGCTCCACGTCGAACCAGAACACACGTGGCGTACGGGCTTCCCCAGGGGCCGGCCTCTTTCGCGCGCACGCGCCGTGGGAGAAGTGTTCTTGTTTGCCCGCCGCGAGTGGCTCGCGGCGAGAGAGCTCTCCAGTCGTACTTCTTAGGGCTCCCCAGGCCCCGGCACCCCCGTCTTCAGGAGGACGCTGACCAGGCATCTGTGCCGAGCCTGGCAAGACCGGCGCATGCACCGATCCCGCCGAGGATGGGCCTGGGCTGGATCGGCACAGGCATACGGTTGCTTGGCGCCCTCCGAGCCTCTCCCACGGGCCCCCCTCTCTTGCTGAGCCCCGAGGAGGCTGGGCTGGCAGCGCTGGCGCTTCCGCTGTCGCTGCCGTACCTGCGCGTGCCGGAACTCCTGCGGTGCTGCCAGGCGGCGCCGCGGTGGCGGGGCGAGGTCGAGTCTTGGCGCGACAGTCACGCCCACAGGGCGGGCGCCGGCGCCACGGCCCTCCACGCGGCGCTCGACGCAGCAGACCCTTCCCGGGAGCTCCCCGCTGTGCATGCCGACTGTCGACCGGGGGCCCCAGACGGTGCGGTGACCACACCGTGTGGTGGGGCGACCGCACGGTGTTGGGACCTGCGGCGTTCTCCGAGGGCGCTTCGGGCGACTGGGGCCTGCCAGGGAACCCAAAGCCGTGCGGTGGCGGATCGTGCGGTGGTGTCTTCGGGGATTCCGAGGTCAGCACACGGTCTGACACCGCACCGTTTCGGGACCCCCAAGCCCAGGCCGCCGACGTCATGGTTTTTTATAAACACAAAATCATGACGTACAACTCTAGAGGTCTGGACCCCTTCCTGAGGACTGACTTTTCAACCCGAGCCTCTCTGTTCACAGCCTCGCGGCTCAGTGAGGGCCGCCGACGGCTTCGGATCGTCAACAATTTCCCGTCCCTTGTTTGTCACCACGCGAGGGGGTCTGAGAGTCAACCCCGCCCCCGGGGGCGCCATCGAACGGCCGCGGGCCCTGGCCCGTGGAGCGGCGATCGCACCAGCAGGGGCGGGCGCGAGCGCCGCGGCAGTCCCCACGCGGCGCTCCTCGGCGCAGCAGCCGCCCTCCACCAGGGGGCGTCGGCTGTACACCCACACCGCTCCTGGCCAGGCCGACCCTGGGCCACGGATCGGTGCGTGCCCAGGCGTGCTCGTGTCGTGGCACAAAAAAAAGGCGGGCGGTTCTTGGCAGTTTTCGGCCCCCGGGGTCCCTCGCCAGGCCCTGGGGTGGGCCAAGAGCGGGGCCGGGGCTCGGGACGGCAAGCACCGCCGCTAATCAAGCACCTCCTCTTTCGTTCAGAAAAGAAACCGCTGGTAAACCGCTGGTTTGTTTAACTGTGCCTGCATCTCGGGGGTGTTCATGGGAAGTTTCAGGCCAAACATGGCTCTCTATTCCATAATGGTCTCTGACCGCTCCTGGGGAGAGGGGCCGGACCTGCGAGGGGCCCGTGTCGAAACAAGGCAAGACATCCCACGTCTGGGTATAGGCCTCCCTCGCCAGCCCAGGAGGGCGTCTGCAGCCGACCGAGGTGTGAGGTCGAGGTCGGCTCGGGGAGGGTACCTTCATGTTCTTGGTGCTTGTGGAAAAACACACACCAACAAGCACACACAAAACACACACACACGCATACACATACACATACACATACACATACACATACTCATACTCATACACATACACACACATACACACAAAAAACACACACATACACACACGTATGTGTTTTTGTTATGTGTTTGTGTGTGTGAGTGTTTTCCCACGGATTTGATTGTGCCTCCTGGGGGAGGGTGCCCTCGACTGCTCTTCAGTGTGGCCGGCGGAGGGTCTCATGTTCTTGAAGGGTGGTTTCCTGGCCCAGGCCTGACTGTACAGTCGGGGCGCTGAATAAGGAACCCTTTTCGTTGGGGAGGGGCTCGGTGTTCCTTGATTGTTTTACAGTTTGCCTTGGATTTTCCTGAGGTTCTCCATGGGAAGTCGAAGTTTAACTGATGGGAAAAGGGGGCCTCGTTCCTTATTTGGGGTTCGTTAGGTCATAGCCCCGACTGTACCCGGATCCCCGGCCCAAGGTGAGCCCAACCAGGATCGGCGCAGCAGTACTGTCAAGGGTTTGTTCTTTGTTCGGTCGGTCCGGTCATGTCGTGGTCGGTTTCGCTCTCGGTCGATTCGGTTCGGTGCGGCCCGTTGTGTTGTGCCGTCGCTGCGTCGCTGCGGCCTGTCAGTTTCGGTGGGTTTCGGTGTCGCTGTTGGTTCTGTCAGGTTTCCGTTATGCTGTCGCCGTGGGTGGCCTCGTTGTACAGTGGAAACCCATGCCAAGAAACACCCTGCTTGCATCCAGGGTGCCCTGGGTTTCCTGGGTTTCGATGGTTTTGCTACGGGAAGCGTGACGTTCCCACACCTAAAACCAAAGGACGTTCTGGAGTCTCAGGGTTGGGTTTCTTGTGGAAGGTTTCTTGCGGTCGGGCCCCTACTGTACATGCTTGACCCAGGGCGCCACCGAGAGACCAGGGCCAGCAGGCTTGGAAGGGCTCCGGCCCGCGGAGGCACACTCTGGGCGTCGGAGCCTCCCAGGACCGACCTGGCGCGAAACAACTTCTGCACGCAATCACGGCTTGAGAGCTCTTAATTGTTCGTGATGCATGTTTTGTTTACCTTTTTTCGGGGGGTCCAGGAACGTGGCCCTCTTCCCCAAGCCATGCCCCCCTGAAGAAAGCTCCCAAGAAGAAAGAAAGGATCCCGAGGGAAAGGGTCTTGCGGTCTTCGCCACCTTCGGCCTCTCAGGGCTCCCCTCCCAGACCCAGGACTGCTAGAGACCGACTCGGCATAAGAGGCCACGGAGCAGGGACAGATGGGGGAGGAGAGGCGACGCATGGAGGTGGGCCGCAAGACCATGCTCTGGGCAAGGGAGCCTGTCCGCACCACCGCTGGGAGAACCAATTGGCCCCGCCTTCAAACATCCTCCCCAGGTGCGCCCCCCGCAGGAAAACTTGGCGGCGCGCACAAGGGGGGTAGGGGGAGGGGGGAGGGCTTCTTAGAAGGAGGCTGCTTCTTAGAAGGCGCCGGCCTTACATCTACAAAGAAGGCCCGTGGCGTCTAAGAAGCAGGGGTGCTTCTAAGAAGCCCTCCCCCCTCCCCCCACCCCCCTCTGCGCGTGGCTGAAAAACGGGGTCGATGGCGCGGACATGGATCCAGGGGGCGTGGATTGGCGACGGGTCCCGTTTCCACTGGAAGTCGCGGATTTCCGCCGCCAGCGAGGCGGCCCGGGCCGCATGCTGGGGAGGGCACCTCCCCCGATCCATGGATCTGGCGACCGCGCGCCAAATCCATGGATCGCGTCAATTCTCCTGTTGTGATGGCACTTGATTCGATGCCAATCTCAAATGTTTGACTGGTTGCCATTGATCAAGTCTACAGCTTTGCAAGGACACAGTCGACAAAATGAGAAGCCTCATTTGTCCTGGCAGCTGTTGTTGAGTTGTTCACATTCTGAAAACGCTTGATCAGAACATTCTCTACCCTACACCTTAGGCGATGCTTGAGAAAACTTGAGTTTTCGGCCAGAGTCTCGATTGTTCTTAACGTTTCAATGTAAACCCCAAGTTTTGAATAGAAATGCTGGGTTTTTTATTCCAGATCTGAGACTATGAATTTCTGAACCCATGATTTCTTAAGCATTTCGCAGGGTGTAAGCCAAGCACAGAATGATGCACCATTGGCTATCTCTTCCTTGGCCCGGGAAAGCGGGGTCGACGGCGCGGACCCTCGCGCGCGAGCTGCCTGCCCTAAGAGCGGCCGCGCTGGCCGCCCTCTTCTCCCAGGGCGGCGCGGCAGGCCGGCGGCCCACGCAAGCCACGGCGCAGGGTCGCTCCAGCCAGCCCGCGTGGCAAGGAAGGGCATCCTTCCCCAGGCGACCCACTGCTCATCTCTAGGTAGTCGAAAAGTCTTTGACCTTTTTGGGGGGCCAAGATCCTGTCGTGTCTAATGGTTCTATCCGGGGCCTCTTCCTGGCCACTGGGGGCCAGAACAATCAGAAACGAGCAGAATTAGGAATGAGCACGATTAGAAGTGAACGACGTGTACCCTTTCATCCTTGCCCCTTCGGCCCGTCCTTAGCGACTTTCGCTGGCCAGCCTACGTCGAAAAACAGCGTGTACCCTCAGAGGTCTGGATCCCTTCCCAGGGACCGGCTTCTCATCCGAGTCGTTTTCGAATTGTCCTGGGGCCCGTTGAGGCCCCCCAGAGGCCGAAGACGGCGAAAAGTCGTCCGACGTGTTTTTTGTGACGACGCGAGGGGGATCTAGGGTTAAGTCGGGCGTGTCCCTCTACAGGAGCAATATTCAGAAATATTCCCCAAAAAATTGAATGGGGACGACTCTTATGTATTTTTGACTACTTTGGAGTTTTGTTTTGGTTGGTATGTTTTCAATTTGTCCTCCAGAATCCTCCTGTAGGAGGACGTGCCCGACCGGAATCTAGGGACGGTGCGGGGCGGTCCTGGCGATGACGGCGGCGGTACGCGACGGGGCTCTCCCGGTGGTCCGCCCCAGACCCGCCGCACGAGCGCCGCGCGCGCGGCGGCGGCGGCGGGCTCGCGGAGCTGGGGATGGGACGAAAGGGCACCAGCACCGCAGCTCCCTGGACCTCTCCTGGGGTTTTGATGTTCCAAAACCTACTTGAGCCTTGACTGCCAGACAAACCGAGCATCAAGAAAGTACTAAGGCTTGAGGGTGTTCACGTGTCGGGCCCTGGGAGGCGATGCTCGTTCGACGATGTTTCGATACTCCTCTTGGTGCTCAAAGTTGCCTCTGGGATGCCGTCCTTAAGTACGACGGGAACAGCATAATCCTGGGGTATTGGAGAGGCCTGACGGCCAGCGCCGCCGACCCTGATCGAAAGGGCTAGGAGTGGGGGGAGGAAGCGGAGGATGATGAGGAGGAGGGGGAGGAGGAGGAGGAGGAGGAGAAGAAGGAGGAGCCTGGGGCATTTTCAGACCTTCATTTTTCGGGCGTCGCGTGAGGGTGGGGCGACAGCTGCGGCGACGCCACAGAGCGGGGGCCGCCTGCGCGGGCACTCGGCGCGCGAGCTCCCCGCGCGAGGCCGCGCGCGAGCGCCCCCGTCTCCGATGCAGCATGCCGCGCCGGCGGGGCGCGTGAGCCACCGCATGGGGTCGCTATGCCATCTCGCGCCAGACCCGCTTTTGACCGCCGCTCACATGCAGCGGGGAGAGACTGCGGGAAGAAAAAACACACACTGTGGGACAAATCACACACACACACAGTGGGGAAAAACACAGCTGTGGGAAAACAAACACACACACACACCAACACAACACAACACAACACAACACAACACAACACAACACAACACAACACAACACAACACAACACAACACAACACAACACAACACAACACAACACAACACAACACAACACAACACAACACACACACACACTGTGTGTGTGCTGTTCCCCCCAAAACACACTGTTGGAAAAACACACACAGTGAACAAAAAACACAGCTGTGGGAAACAACACACACACACAGTGGGAATCAACACAGTTGTGTGTGTTTCCCCCAAAACACACTGTGTTTTTGTACATGTTTTCCCACATTGTGTTTTTGTCCCACAGGTGCGCCCGCTGATCGGCCCCCAGTAAGCAGCGCCCCAGGGACGAACATGTCATCCCGACGGGCCCAGGGGGGGAGACCTGGGAGCCCGAAAGGGGGCTCGCAAGCATTCGGGACCCGCTTCCTTGGGGACCCTGCTGCCTCGTAGCGACCTCCTTGGGGGCTCTGTCGCTTCGTAGCGACCTCCCCCTTTGAGGAGCACGTCCTCGAGCTCGGCTGGCGCGCGCCGGCGCTGCTGCGGGCGCGCGACTGCGCGGGGCGCCCGCCGCTGCTGCGGGCGGCGCAGCTCGGCGCCGCGCCGCTGGTGGCGGCTCTGCTGTGCGCGCGGGCGGACTCCGCCGCGCGCGGCGGCCACGGCTGGACGGCGCTGCACGCCGCCGCGGCGTGCGGCCACGTCGAGGCCTGCGGCGTGCTGCTGGCCGCGCGCGCGGACGCGGGCGCGCGGACGACGGACCGGGGCCAGGGCCGGGGAAAGGCGTCCCCCACCTCCTCCTCGGACCACCGCTGGGCTTGCTAAGGGGATGGGGGGGGGTACTAAGTAGATGTGATGGGCCTGCTGTCCACCACCACCACCATACGTTGGAGGGGGAGGGGGTCCTCCTCCTGCTCCTCCTCATCCTCCTCCTCCTCCTCGTCCTCCTCCTCCTTCTCCTCCTCCTCCTCGCCCTCCTCCTCCTCGTCCTGCACCTCCTTCCCCCCTCCAGCTTATGGTGGTGGTGGTGGTGGTGGAAAACAGGCCCATCCGGATGCCAAGTTGGATTGCGCCCAGGGGACACCTAGCTTATCAGTGGGTTGCAGCTGGAGTCCGAGCCAGGTGCCGAGGTAGGTGATGACGACGATGTCGGCTGCGCTGAGGATAATGTTGCCAGCATAGCTCTTGGCTGCGCTGGCGACGATGGTGGCGCCCGCGATCCAAAGCTGCGCTGACGAGCGCGCTGTCAACGAAGCTCCCGGCTGCACTGGCGAGGATGATGGCGTCGGTGATCCAAGCTGTGCTGACGAGGGTGCCGTCGTCGACGCTGCCAGCTGCGCACGTCGCCATCGAAGCTCCCGGCTGCGCTGGCGAGGGCGACGGCATTGGCAATCGAGGTTGTGGAGGTGAGGATGCTGGCGTCGAAGGCCTCGATTGCGCGGACGAGGATGAAGGCTTCGGCGATCCGGGGCTTGCCGACGAGGACGCCATCATCGCAGCTTTCGGCTTCGCTGGCGAGGGCGACGGCGCTGGCGATCCCGGCTGCGCAGGCGAGGGTGCTGGCGAGGCTCGCGGCCGTGCTGGCGAGGACCATGGCGCCAGTGACCCAGGCGAGGAAAATGGCGCCAGCGGTCCCAGCAGCGGCGGCGAGGATGCTGGCGTCGATGCTCTCGATGGCGCCGACGAGGATGCTGGCCTCAGCGATCCAGGCTGTGCTGACGAGGATGCCGGCACCGATGCACTTAGCTGCGCATCCAGACGGTGCAAGCGAGGATGCTGGCGCCGATGCCGTCGGCAGCGCTGCCGAGGCTGGCGGCGCAGGCAAGTCAGCGTGCAGAGGAAGGAGGCTGGGGAGGGCGGGGCAGCGGCGGTTCCGAGCAGGCCGCGCTTGCTGGGTAAGGGACCTCCGAGAGGTCGACCCCCCCTGCGCAGGGTGGTCCCGAGGCAGGGGGAGGGACCGCTCTGGCAGCCCCTGCTGCCTCGTAGATGCCGGCGATCCCTCCACCTGCGCGGGACGGTCCCGCAGCAGGCGAAGGTGACCTGGCTGGCAGCGCCGCCTCGCCCAGGGCGGCCTGGAACTGCGCCGACGAGCATGCTGGCGTCGGAGCCGGAGCTCCAGGTTGTTATCGAAGCATTTGGCCGCGCTGGCGAGGATGGTGGCATCGACGATCTGGGCTACGCTGATGAAGATGTTGGTGTCAATGGTCTCGGCGGTGCTGTCGAGGAAGCTTGCGTCGGCGCTCCCCGCAGAGCAGCGTACGTGGCGCCCGCAGCGTGCGTGGCGCCCGCAGCGTGCGTGGCGCCAGCGGCGCGGGCGGCGCCAGCGGCGCCGGCAGCGCCTGCGGTGCCATCCTCGCGCCCGTGGCTTCTGGCGCAGAAACCCGCGGCGCAGGCGGCGGCCGCGGCACCGGCGGCGCCCGCAGCGCCCACGGCGCCCGCGGCGCCCGCAGCGTCCACAGCGGCGCCGGCGGCGTCCCCAGCGCCCTTGCCAGCGAGCAAGCCGCCTGCCGCCGACACCACTTGCGAAAACTCGACAGCGGCGGCAGCAGCCGCGGCCGTGGCCGCAGGGCCAGGTGGCGCCGCAGCAGCGCAGGCCGCTGCAGCGTCGCAGCCGCAACGCCAGCGGCGGCGGCGGCGGGCGAAAAGGCGGCGGCGCCACAGCAGTGGCGGTCGCCGCGGCGCCGCCGCGGCTGGCCGCGGCGACAGCCTCGGGAGCCGCGGAGGCTGTGACAGCCGCCGCAGCGGCGCCGGCCAAAGGCACCCAGGCCAGGGTTCCCCACAGGCCCACGCAACGCTGCAGGGGCGGCAGGCCAGGGGCGCAGCGGCGCCGGCGGCACGGCCAGCGGCGCGCGCCAGTGCCGCCGACGCCGCGCTGTGGCGGTCTCCATCAGCGCCGGGCTGGAGCACGCGCCTGAGCCAGGGGCGTGATCGAGCCCAGATGGCCTTGAGTCAAGGCTTGGACCAAAGAGCTATGGAATGACGACACACACACATCAGGGTGGGTACAGGGGGTCTGGGTGCGGGGGCGAGCGGAGAGGGCGAGAGGAGGAGATGGGGGAGACAGTGGACAAGAGGACGGGGAGAGCGGTTGTTCCCGCCGCCCACGCCACCGCCGCCCACGCCGCCGCCGCTGCCGCCACGCACGCCGCCGTCGCCGCTGCCGCGGGAGCGAGAGCACCCGCCCACGAAGGACGGGCTCGAACCGCTGTTCTACGCGCACCGCGGCGACGGCGGCGGGGGGGAGGCCGTAGCCCGGCTGCTGCTGCGGGCCGGCGCGAGGCCCTGCTGCCGCGCAGACCGCTACGGTTTCACCGACACGGGCGCCTGAGCACGGCCGTGGGCCTCCTGCTCGCCGGAGCACTGCCCCCCAGAGCGCTTTTGACAAGGCGCAGCTGCTGGAGAGCATTTCGAAGCGAGAAGACCATCAGGTGGGTGCCCGCGTGCGCAACCGCCGAAGAAAGACGTGGCCAGCGCGTCCCCGAGGGTCGAGGCATCGATGTTTATAAGGATCGCTGGACGAGGACCGAGGTTCAAGGAGTGAGGATCGGGGTTCGAGGAGGAGGATGCGCGGTGGGGATTTATCCATGCCCACCGCTTGGGGAACCAATGCCCCAGAGGGCAGTGGACATGAGCATACTACGGCCCCCTGAGAGCTCAAACGTGCCAACATGCGCACACCCACCGCCCCCCCGAGGCCCAGGAAGAGCGGTTCCCCGGGCGGCGGACGTGGACAAGTCCCAGTATCGGACGGGGAGGTCGCCCCCGGCGGCGGCGCGCGCGCGAGGCGCGCGCGCGCGAGCGGAGCCTGGGAGCCGATGGAGGGGAGGGAGAGGGAGAGGGCGAGGGCGAGGGACAGGAGGAGGAGGAGGCAAAGGAGGAGACGAGGAGGAGGGAGGAGGAAGAGGGAGTAGAGAGAGGGAGGAGGAGCCCAGGCGAGCCCCCCGACGGCGGCGAGCGGGAGCCCAGGAACCCCCCCACTCCCTCGCCGCGCGCCGCGACGGCCGAGGCTTGGGCGCGGCGGAGAACCCGCCGCGCGGCCTCTCCAGCCCGCCCGCGGGCGAGCCGGCGGCGGAGCCTTCGCCCGCGCCCCCGCAGGCTGCGGCGACGCCGACGGCGACGACGCCCGCGCCGGCGACGGCGACGGCGACGGCCAGCGACGCCGCCGACGCCCAACGGCAGCGCTGCGGGCGGCCCGCCGACGCTGCCGACGGCCACGCCGACGACGACGAGGACGACGAGGACGACGACGACGACGACGACGACGACGACGACGACGACGACCACGACGACGACGACGGCGGTGGCGGCGGCGGCGGCGACGACGACGACGACGCCGACGTCGCCGACGCCGACGAGGCTTTCGAATCACGCCTCGAGGCAGGGGTCTCCTCTCGTCCGCGCGCGGCGGCTCCCCACGGCCCTGCCCCGCGAAGCAAGGGGAGCGCGCTCGCGCAGCAGAGTTCAGCGCACAACGCCACACCTGGATGGCTCAGCGCCGACGCGCTTGGCGGAGGAGGAGGAGGAGGAGGAGGAGGAGGAGGAGGAGGAGGATGGTGGTGGCGTGATGGTGGTGGCTGGATGGTGGCGGCTGGATGGTGGCTCAGCGGCGCCGACCCGCTTGGCGGCGCCCGGCGACGACGAGTCCGCCGCTGGGCGACCCGCCGACGCTGCTGGCGGCTACGACGCCGGCGACGGCGACAACGCCGGCGAGGGGGACATGAGCATGTTGTCGTCGATGATGATGATGATGATGATGATGATGATGATGATGATGATGATGATGATGATGATGATCATGATCATGATCATGATCATGATCATGATCATGATCATGATCATGATGGTGATGATGATGGTGATGGTGATGGTGATGGTGATTGTGATGCTGATGCTGATGCTGATGCTGATGCTGATGCTGATGATGGTGATGGTGATGATGATGATGATGCTGATGATGATGATGATGCTGATGCTGATGCTGATGCTGATGCTGCTGATGCTGATGCTGATGCTGAGTGTGCTGATGCTGATGCTGATGCTGATGCTGATGATGCTGCTGATGATGATGGTGATAATGATGATGATGATGATGATGATGATGATGATGATGATGATGATGATGATGATGCTGATACAGACGATGATGATAATGATGGTGACGGTGATGGTGATGAGGATGCTGGTCATGCTCATGATGATGGTGATGATGCTGATGATGATGCTGATGATGCTCATGATGTTGATGATGATGCTGGATACGATGATGCTGCTGATGATGATGATGATGATGATGATGATGGTGGTGGCGGTGGTGATGATGATGATGATGTTGTTGATGATGTTTATGATTATGCTGGTTGGTGATGATGATGGTGATTATGATGGTGGTGATGATGCTGGTGATGCTGATACAGATGATGATGATGCTGATGATGATGGTGATGATGATGATCATGATCACGATCATGATGATGATGCTGATGAAGATGATGATGCTGATGATAAGGAGCAGGGGGAGGAGGAGGAGGAAAATAGGAGGATGCGGATGAGGATGCGGATGAGGATGAGGAGGAAGAGGAGGAGAACGACGAGAAGAAGGAAGACGGTGATGAGGAAGGTGAGGGAGAGGAAGCAGGAAGAGGCAGGATGAAGAGAAAGGTGAGGAGGAGAGGAGTCGAGCAGCAGGATGCGGAGGAGGAAGAGGAGGAGGAGGAGGAGGAGGAGGAGGAGGAGGAGGAGGGAGGAGGAGGAAGGAGAGAAAAAGGAGGAGGAAGGAGAGGAAGAGGAAGATGAGGGAGAGGAAGGAGGAACGCGGTGAGGGAGAACAGAGCCGACGCTTGCCGTTGCATCGTAGACGTGTTGGCGTCGACGTGGCAAAGTGCGTGGCAGGGATGGGACGGGGCGCACATCCCGCGCGAAAGGGCAGAAGGCCGCTCTTGTCCCGGAGACGCGCGCACTGCTTCGGAGAGCCGAGCTCCCGCTTCCTGCCGCGGTGCGCACTGCTCGGTCGCCAGCTCGTCGGCGCGCGACGCGAGCCAGCACGTCGCTCTCGCCTCGGCGCCGCCGCGCAGGCTCGGCGTGAGGGTGGCGCTGCCGCGCGAGCGTGGAGGACGTGCCCTCCCTCTCCGCGTCGGATCGATTTGCGCGAGGACTTCTTCCACACCCAGGGCAGGTATTTCATGGGGCAGGCCGTTCCCGTCAGCATGATATGGTTGATGTGGGTCGACGTGGGATCACGTCTGTCGATGGCGGATGTGTGTTTGTGGGCGGCAGCGCCTTCTCGACCCGTGTGCCTGAGTTGCGGTCAGCGGGCCGGGCCGTCACGGCTTACGATGCTGAGCGGCGCAGAGTTGCACGATATCACGGCGCCGTCCCACGGTGTGAAGGGCCAGGTCAAGTGGCCCGCGACGGCGAGGACTATGCGATCATGAAGGCCAGCCAGCTGGTCATGGGCTCTTATCAAGTCAAGTCAGATTGCAAGGGCTCGGTTGGATGTTGCCACAGGCTCGAGGCGGCAAGTGGGCCAGGCAACTTGAGAGCACACCTGTGGAAGCGCACTAAGATGAACGACGATTTCTGCCGCGCTCCCGTTTTGCACGTCAAGGTGCACACGAGTGTGTCTGACGTCAGGGAGGGAGTCATCAGCCAGTTTGATCGAGCTGGTAACGCGGAGGCCGACGAGTTGGCCAAGGCTGGGGCCTCCTTCAATCGAGCTTCGGAGGCTCAGGAGCGCTTCGTTCGTGGCGCCATGCGCCTTCACAAGATGCTGCTAGGTTACATTGCACAGTTCGGGGTGTGGTTCCACGAGCAGGGCGATGACTTTTAAAGACTATCTTTTCCCCGAGCCGCAGGAGGACGATCTGGCCACTCCTCAGCAGCGGGCGGCGGTGAAGGAGCCTCTCTTGCCGTGGCCCTGGTTGGTGCAGAAGCATGCGTTGCTGGAGTACCCAGTGGTTGGGCACGACCGATTGATGATTTTCTGTACCAGCTGCTGCAAGTACCCGGACACAGGCAGCCTCAACCATCGGGGGCTTGACAGTGTTTGTTGCGGCAGAGAAGGGGGCAGTGGCAGGATTGTGGAGAACACGAGGCACTTCAGCAACCTCAGACATCCACAGTCGTTGCATAAAGATATCTCGCTTGAGGACGCTCGGAGACCTTCCGTCAGAGTCCGAGCCCTGGTGTGCAAGTCAAAAGGTTGGCGGGGCCCGCTGGGCGACTTGCCTGAGGTCGGCTTCAGGCCCAAAGGTAAAGTCCGTGCCGAACCCCAGCGTTACCTGGACACTAGCTTGAGTTTGAAAGACCACGGTCTATTATACCCAGAAGCCTTGGAGCTGGGTGCTCCACATGAGTCTGACAGCGATGACGATGTGGACCTCGACATGGTATGACGGGTCGGCGAGGATGCCGACAATATCCAGGATTTGGAGTGCCAGCCCACAGTGGGTGAGTGCCCCGCAGGGGCGAGTTGCAGTACGGAGTGAGGACTGGATGTGGTGTTTGACCCTCACAGGCCCCATCAACTCGTTCGTTATTTTCTTGCCAGGGCTAGGATCGGTTTGGCCATGCCCAGGCACTACACTAACGCGTCGCGGCGATGGGCGACGTCCGTCCGAGGGCCTTGGGCTGCTGCGCTGGCTCTTGGACCCTCCAAGCGGCGATCGCGCCGAGGGGCGACGTCCGTCCGAGGGCCTTGGGTTTCAGCCTGGCTGGCCCTTGGACCCTCCATGCGGCGGGCGCGCCCAGCCTGTTTTGCCGTGCGGCTCGAGCGTGGAGATGGATTTCTGCGCCACGCTCTTTCCACGTGCTCCTCTGGGACGTGGGCCTCGAGCTGCACCACTTGGTCTCGGGCTCCCCGCTCGTGGCGCTGGGAGCCCCGTGGGAGCTCTTCCCCGCCGTGGCGGGCCTCGTGCAGGTGAGCACGGGCCTGCCGCAGGCCCCGTGCTCCCTGGCCGCCCGCGCGGCCTGCTGTTGGGGTAGGCATGCTTCTCGCCCCCCGGCCTGGCGCTTGCAAGGTGGTCCTGGCCTTCGGGCTCCACCGCGTAGGTGCAAGGGAGGGGGGGTGAGGGGTGTGCCTGCCTACCCTCTGCTTGGATCCAACTGCCCCTTGGTTTTTGCTCGCTCGCTCGCTCGCTCGCTCCTCCTCCTCCTCCTCCCCTCCTCCCTCCTCCTCCTCCTCCTCCTCCTCCTCCTCCTCCTCCCCCTCCACCTCCTCCCCCTCCTCCTCCTCCTCCCCCTCCTCCTCCTCCCCCTCCTCCTCCTCCTCGTCGTCGCCAAGGGCGCCGCAGCGCCGCGCAGGGACCTTCCGATGGTCTGCGCCCGTCCGCGCGCTGCCCTTCGTTCCTCCCCTCCGTCAAGCCGTCGGGGGCGGGGCGGGCTCGAGCGCCTTCCGTTCGCTAAGCGGGAACGCGCACCAGTCCCACTGCCAAGTTCTGCCACCACTGGTTTGCGTC